TTAATAGACGAATGAGTAATTTGTTTGGCTGTGACCCAGCGTTTGGTTGCTAGGAGTTTATTTCAATTTTAAAGCAGGAATGAGATGTACTGGAAAATTCACCAGTGACAGACGTCAATCATCGATCGCGTACGAAAGCTGTTTCCGGTCGATTCGGTTCCGCGAAATGATTTATTATGCTGTGGAGCATGACGGGGAATTATATAGTATTTTCGTGTCCGAGGGGCGTCTTTGATTGCACTGTGATCGATGGCACAGCCGATGGATTGAGGAGTGAGAATTCGGCTGACGTTTTTACAGTCACTAACTAGTCAACGAAGGATAATTTGATGAGTGCCACTGACAATTTTCCAACTTCACCCGATGATAAAATTGATGTGCAATGAATTTAAACTTTAAAAATATCAAATTATCGTCATTTTGCCGATGCTGTCCTCCGAAGGCACTTGTGGGAATTTCAATTCAATCGCTGATAACTTGAATTATGAATTTCAGATCAAGAATTTTTTCACCGGCAAATACCGAAAATATCGGTATGGGAAAATGGCGGTGATAATTGGGTAATGATTTGTCCGGGGTCTGGAAGGGTTTTATGATTTTTCCGTGGGGATACATTGGAGCGTCCATGTTATTATATTTTGTATGTATTGTGGATGTGGTTTTGTAGTATGTAGAGTCGATGGAGCGTAGAAAGCGGGAAAATCGTGGGCGCGGCACGCAATCACCGCCATAATCTCGCGGCTCGTCGGTTCTACGAGGGCTACCCCACCGGTACAATAATAATGCAATAACAACCCACCCCCCCGACTATTTTGTATATGCGCCCGCGCACATCCAATACATGCCACATCCCAATGTATGCAGTTACTGTTCTACGTACCATTGGTCGCATCGTTTTGGCGTTCGCGTCGAGTGTTTCACATAGGCCATTTCACTCACAATCTATTCAACTTGTTCCGAAAATTTTCACTCGTTTTAAACGCACCGGAGAGGTTTATTCGATTGTCACATAAAAGCCGAGCGAAATGTACCAAAATTAATAAACAAACTACCACTCGCCGATAAAACCTCATATTGATTGATTGGAGTTGGGATAAAAAGGAAATTTCGTAATTGAAATGCTCAATCTCACGGAACAAATTTAAATTCCCATAATGGGATATTCTCCACGAGGGGAGATGAATAGCGAAAAAAGGCTGGAGGAAAAAATAAAAAGAAAAAAACGATTCGCTGAAGGCCTGTAAATTCTGGAGAACAGAAGCACATACTCGTAGCACAAAAGCCGTCGAAGGGTTTTCAAGAGGGGTGGAGTCACAGTGAGAAATAAATAGACAGGGAGATGCTTGTCAAATAAGAGAATCGGGGGAGAGAAAAGAATGGAGATTTAGGCGTCGAGACTGCCAGCACTTACGCCTAATTGAATGCCAATGAAAATCTTAGTTGGCTCTTTCGATTTCGGTATAAATTATTCATCCACCGGAATTTAAGGTCAACTTCTTATTTTTCAAATTCTAATTCATTGAGTAACTTCCACATTATACATCAGAAGAAAGGATTATATTTTTTTTTATGGGAGAAAAAAATATTTTTTATAAATGTACAATTGGATGATGAAATTAATGGCCATTTAATTCTGAATGAATTTTTGAATTCTTGATTAATTTTGAATTTAGAGTAATTTGGGATTGAATATTTATGTGGGGAATCAAAGGAGTTTTTCAAGCCGACAGACAAATTTATTGCCACATCTGAAGTACATTGGAATAAATAAAGTTCAGGGAAACTACGAAATAGCTTCAATTCATCTGCTCGGTAAATATAATAACAAGAAATAAATAGACAAGGGGGCTGATCAAATGAGACAACCAAGAGAACGAAAAAAACCGGCACTCCCGGCAAATTGAAGGCGAATGAAAAACATCTTGTTCTCCGTTCCATTTCATAATCGTTAATCATTGGTGGAGAAGCGAGAACTTCGGAGAATAATCCGTTCAGAGAATATTTTGTCGCTCCCCCTCGTTCTGTAATCAGTTTTTTAACGTCGTGGGAGAGAAAACGAGGGAGAAAAAAGCCGTCTCGAATTTCTCAAACCGATTGTTGACTGTCGCCAGACATCTTACCCGATAAAAAAAAAAGAACGATAAAGATTAAACGAAATGAGAGGTGAATTCTTTATGCCGGTTCCTCCTGACCCTGAATAAATTCCACTAATTCCCGAGTTTGCTCTGAATCTCTTATCGCATTTTACTTGTGTACAGGAATTCCCCGGGTCCTCTCCGAAATACCATGAATGAATGAGATGACAGCCCGGGGTTATCTGTTCCTAGAATCTTCGGGGATTTTTTTTTCCCTCACTTTTTCGTTTTCTACTTTATACCTGAAATTCGGTCAAAAAGGAAAGTCAGAGGAAATTAGTTGGCCCCAGGTAACCACTTGGTGGAGCACCACAAACTCCTGTAAGATGAGAATCAGAGGATTGAGGAGTGAAAGGGGAAGGTGCGAATTTCAGGGGATTAATCTTTAATTCTCTGAGGAATGAGGGCTCTTCGATGTGCCACTCGTGGTAATCGCGAATATTTTACCCACTGGGGATTTTGCCGGATGGCGCCTAACCACTCGCTCCTTTTGTCTCGGGAATTCATCCAGTCGTTAATTATCTCGGTTCGTTGTTCGGTCTTGTCTAGTCAGAGCGACGGCTCATTCCTGAGATACTCCGGACTACAATCGAAAAAAATTAATTTTCATATGTCAAACTGAAAATAAACAACTCCTTGCAACGACAAATTTCCGCACCCCCTCAAATTCTCTATGGGGGAATAAAATTTCCCCTAACCACCCCTTTGGCAATATGCAGAAAAACCACACAGCAGCAAAGCAATAAATGTTTCATAAATCTGGAAAAGAAGAAAAATTTTTAAAAATCTTTCCCAAAAATAAAATCCTTTTGTTTCCCGATGTTTTTTTTGTTTCATAAAAAAAATGTCTGAAAAGTTTTCCCGATATTTTTTGAAAATTTGGAAAAAATATTCCGATTACAATTTTTTACCCGAGTACACCCCGGGTGTAAACTCGACAATGCCACACTAGAAAAAATATGAAAAATATCCACTGGAAAATGTATAAATTAGATGAATCACCCCGGAGTGATTCCTCAATCGGGAATTGATGAGCATAAATTACCCCGAGTTCGATAATATACCAGGGAGTAGTCGAAACCATGTAAAATTCATCGACGATTGATATTTAGAGATGCTCCCACTCGTGTCCCTGCCAAGCTTTACCAGCCTCAACTCAATTACCGAATGAAATATCAGCCACCAGCTGAGTACCGAGCAGTTTATATCACGCTGGTGGCCATTATAATCCATCCGTGTATTCAATCCATATTCGGTGAGTGGCCGTGGAGGTCAAAGAAAATGATATACCCCCAGCCACTATTTTGCTCACTTGTCAACATGCTACCCATACATGCTGGTGATGTTTCCCACTTTTACCCACCTCGCCCCTTTCCAATCTGTCCCGAGCCCGTGAATTCCTTTCAAAACATGGCCAACCACTAGGCAATAGGTCCCAGCCTCTCCTAGCTTCCCCCTGGCACACGACCAACTATTTTCAAACATTATGTGCAATCTTCTCATGCATAATACAGGTGCCTTCATACGTTGTCTTCGTAAATACAGCTAGGGGTGACAGCCCGTGACCCCCTCACCTCTCCAGGCTCCCACATATGAGAATCCCAATCCAACATCTACATTCTCCGAGTCAAAGTCCCCTGAAGTCTCAGAATTCTAAATACCATGCAAATCCAACCCGGCGGACTTCCCACCGTATGACGTACGCTGTTCAGAGACTATTCCCAACCCTCTTTACCTATCTTATAGACACCGCGTCTTCGCTACTTCCGTTCCACACAAGCCCAGATGGTTCTTCCAACTCTTCGAGTTCTATCGGGGCCTCTATATCCACAGGGTATGAATATTTCAATACCGTGAAAGCAATTCATGGTGCTGTGGATAATGCACTTTTGTCGGATATTTTATTTTTCTCTATCGACTCGTCGTTTTGTGATGTTTTAAGGGTAGTCTTTCTGGAATTTTCGTTTTAAATATCTCAACGTTCTGTCGGAGGTCTTGTGTAAATTCACCAAGAACTGGAGGAGATTGCCCCATTTTATGTCAGACGAGATTTACTGAATTTCAAGTTCCCGGTTAGAGCTCACCGATAGGGAGCCGGGTAAAAAAAAATGTACTTGAAATATTTTTCCAAATTTTCAAAAAAATTCTGGAAAACTTTCCAGAAAATTCTTTCTTTGAAACAAAAAAAATCGGAAACAAAACAATCGTATTTTTTAAAAATTTGTTTCGGAATTTTTTTGAAAATTTGGAAAAAAAATTCCCATCACAATTTTTTTTTACCCAGGGAATCAATCGTACGAATTTCCGGATATCCCCACTAAAGGGTTGAGTGTTCTTGAAAAAATATAAGTCTTTGAATAATTTAATTGGAGAATGGAGTTTTCAATCAGCCATCACGCGAAAGATATCAGAGAAGTCGGGATGATAGAATTTGCCTGCGGGTCGGAGGTACTGCGGCACTACCGTGATGATTAACCCGAAGGAAGCAAATACCTCGACACGAGCTGTGGAGCTCGGTTAATTAGAATTTAGTTAGATAGGAGTCGACATGTGAGGGAGTCATAGTATTAGATTGTGTCTCTCCCTCAACACGCGATGTTATATCCGAACGTGGTAATTTCGGAATTCATCCTCCAGCTAAACGGCTGAGACAAGGATTGAACTCTTATAAACATTTCTGCAATCACATGATACCAGCAAACGCTATTATTCCAACATCACGGGTATATTTACCATTCCTCGTTATCCAGATTTCCACTGTTCACCATTTTTTCCGTTTTAAATAAAATGTTGTACGAATTTTCCAGGACATTTGAGTTTAAAACATTTGATGAATTTGATAATTGTGATTTTTTTTTTCATTAGGATGTGCAGAGTGGTACGTCTTCTGGAATCAATTACCGAAGCCCCTGGGGGTGAATTGTTCATCGGATATACATCTAGAAACAGTAGTGTATGAGTGGCTAGTTTGCAGTACTCTCTTGTACTCCATAGGCGACCACTTGATTACGTCAGTTAGGTGAGTAGCAGCTCAATTCTGGCTATGAAGCCACCAGTGCACTACAACCCTGTCTACTCCTAGCTCATCCTCAGGATGGCAAAGCCAGTGGCAAGCTTCTCACCCCAAACCATTCTCCGTGCATAAGCAAAGCTATTTCACATAGGCACTACTTACACCTCAATATGCTTCTGTGTTCTCCTGTGAGTATCCGTGTAGTTTATGGCTTAAAGTCGAGCTGCAATGGCCTGTAGACTCACTGTACAGTAACTACAGTGTAGAGACACCCGAACGTAATTAGTCGTGAGTGAATATCGATTATCTCAACTACTATTGAACAATCAGAACTTATGTACTGAGTCTTGCACGTGGGCTAGGGCTTCTCCACAGATTACCATTATCGCATGACATTTTATTATTGCACTGCAATAATTTAACGTACACCTTTTGTCGGAACGAAATCACTCGACAAGGATTAACTTTTATTGATGCAACGATTTGTTAATTAGTTTGTACTGAAAATACAGCAATCAATGTTAACAATAAAAACTACATAAAAAATCAGTTATAAAAATTATTGTTAATTTTTTGTCTCTACCCGGAAAAGCCACGTTGATAAATCTTTTTATTTTAGAATTGCTCACTCATGGAATTATCTACAATTTATAAATATTTTTCAAAATAGAATAATTTTCTGTGAGTTAGAGTCAGTTAAAGGGCAAATAGTTTCTCGGGAAATAATTCAGCAATTTCCTCGAAGCATGTCGATGAAATCGTTCCCTGAATTTTATACGATTAAACATTCTCGAATTCCATTCAATTTAAACTCGTCTCTGTAGTAAGACTCCAGTAGTAAATAGAGTCCGGATTTTCCCAAGACCTTCCCTCGAACCACAGTACTAAACCCAACAAACTCTATCCCCTCAACTCGATGAGATTAATGGAAATTAAATTGAGACCGTACGACGAACCTCAGTACCATCGGCACAAACTTCATCCTCAGGCTGGAAAATGTAATAGGGCATTTCAGAAGTGACTGTACAGAATCCATCGCTCGGATGTGGGCCCCCCTCAGCTGTGCAGACCCAGGGCGAAAGTAATGAAGTGGCAACACGGTTGGGGTTGAGAATGGGGTGAGATTGATATCCTGGAGTCACGTCGGGGCTGCGCAAGGTGTCGAGAAACGGGTGAAGACGTGAGGGGATTGAAAACGCTTTCGCGGTCGTTCCGAGATACTCACTTCTCCCATTTCCCTTTCACCCCTTCATCCACACTTCTTTCCACCCCTTCCACCCCTTTCCACCCCTTTCCACCCGTTTCCACTCCTTTGCACCCCTTTGCACCCCCTTTTACCCACACATTTCCAAGACTCCTCTGTTGACGCCATTCCCCACCAACTCGTAAAACTTTTGGCTACATTGTTGGAGATTGTCTTAGCAAAATTTAAATGACCGGCTTTCATTAATTACAAACAATCTCACCCGAACGTGCTAAACTTCATATTCACAATATCGAATATTAATTCGACGAGTGCATTGAGAAGATTGAGTTATCGAAGTTATTCAAAGCGATGACGCTTATGATCTCTGATGAATTAATGATTTTTTAACTGGTAAACAAATAACACGACTCGGTTCAACAATATAATGTTATTCTGTATGATGGTGTTTACATTTGCCTTGTACCGAGCATTGTAATCTCCGTGTAAGCCGCAAGTGTATTTGGTATGTACGTCGGCAAGGTCTCGGCGAATTCTCCCAATACTTGATCAATTCCACCCTTTCGTAGCGTTCACAGGGCAGGGTCCATCCGTCACGAGGATTGAAATAAACAAACAAGCATTGGGAGCAATATCCCGCTCGGTCAATATTTGGTCGAGGGTTAGTCGACTCTACTCCTCCCTTTTAGCCCACACAGTCCCCTTCCAGCAATTTCCCAGTCTTTGCTGAGGCACCCAGAGGGCTCAGTTTAGAATAGAAGGAATAGGTGAGGGGCCGAGAGAGTAAGAGAGAGAGAGGATAAAGTAAACGGCAATGCAAACGCCACGTTTACATTTACGTGTTTGCCAGGGAACTCAAATATTTCGTGGCTCCGCGATCACGAGCTCCTCAAACCTCCCATTCTCCCCCTCTTTGCCATTACGTGGTATTACTTCGTATATGGCTATGTATATTTACTTAATTGTCAACATTTGAGTGCCTTATACACGGTGCAGACAAGAGATTAGAGTGACGCGAGTCTCACAATAACGTGTTGTATATGTGGGTAAACACGAATATTCGTGAATCCTCTGGCCTACTATTTTTCTCTTCTATCACAATGTCGATGTGCGCCATGATGTAGACGGATTGTGTATCACTGTTTACACTCAGGCCAAATACAATCTTATCCTCTTTTTTTTTCTGTGTATCTGTTCGCTACACAGAGGAGAACCATTTCTTATTTTCAGGAAATGTGTCATTTGGTATGAGGATTTTTTTTATATCAGGGTTATTTTACAGTGCCTTGACCTACTTTTGGTAGAACTATAATTGAGCAGAACTTTGAGTGGTTTTTTGAATCTCGCGAATATTTTTACAATTTTTTTTTACTCGGATGTCTGAATCAAGTACTTTTTGTAACATTTTGTTATTCATCTTTTGATTTTTGATGAATCCGAATTCTGAACACTCTGGTATTTTTAAGAAAATTCGAATCGAGTCAGAAATTTTCAAGTTCCAAATTACACCTAACGCTTTCACCATCTCAATTCCACTCCTCTTCCCAAACGTCTTGAATATTAATATCCTCAATATTAAATTTAAACATATAATTATCGTCTCAAAATAATAGTCTCGATCGAAAATCCAGCGAAAATAGTAAAATTCCGGATTAGCAGCCATTAAAAGAGAAAACGTGTAAGAAAAAATCGTCCAAAGACCCCGCAGATGTCATTCCCAGAAATAGATATCGATTCATATTCAGAAGTGCTCGGATGACCTCCAGTTCACTCACCCCTGATATCTCATCGTCGAGGTCTGGGGTGAACTCCGACCAGAATATCGAGACGATGACATTCGTAATTCATACACAAACTCGTCCGTCTAGTTGTGTAATGACGACACGACGACTTTTTTAAAAACCATTGAATGAACCTCTGGCCTCAGTGCATATTTCATGAATTATTTTTCACGTAGCTTTCTTCCTTTCTTCCCTCTGTTTATTTACCTTTTCATTTGCCCCCGAGCTTTTTCACATTTACCCCTGATATTTTCTCACCAACACCACGCCTTTCATCCTATGTACGGCATTTACTTTTTTTTTTTATTGTATACACTGTGTGAAATCGTACCGAGGGTCCCTTGTACTATGCATAACCCCCGAACAAAGAACCAACCGTGCAAGCGCCTTCGGCGTTAATATTTTAAACACACCTTTTTCTCCCCTCAGAACGCGTCCTCCACATTGCCCTCTCATACCCACTGCTATATCCTCCAGTTTTATCCCACCTTCTTCCGACGCGAAGAGAAAAAAAAATGAGGAAATTGATTAATTCATCGCGGTTAAATTTATGCTTCGGAGAGTAATAAACTCAGTCATCGCACCGAGGAGAATATGGATTTCAGACGAGGATTGGTCTTCGAAGGATATATCGTTTGGAAAGTACTCCTCCAGGGCAGTGATTACCAGGTAGTCCAGCGGGTTACCTCCAGGTGTAAACATCAGTGTTATGTCAAAACATTTGGTAATTATTTTTCACATTTTTCTGGAATTAGTTGGAGTTATCTCAAGTGGTAGTTCATTGTAGGTCAGTTGTTGGAGAATAATCTCTTTCTTGTGGAAATTATTTTTTGGATTGACCGTTGGGAAAATTGCTAACCGAGTCTTTTTGAGGCCTCTGTTTTGCAAGGCAAATTAAGTGTGCAGTTTTACGACAATGACTTCAAGTTTCGAGTTGCGTTTTGAAAAGTTGAGTTATGCTGAATTTTCTTGGTACAGCGGGAATAATTGGGGAAAACATTTTGTTTCAGAGGAGCAGTGTCTACTTGATAATTCTTTATAAAGATGTGAGCCATAATTCATAGTTTCTCGGAGTTAAGATCATTGTAAATTTCCAGGAGAATACGTAATTCAGGAAATTTGCATACAATGTCGGGAAATTATTCGTGAATTTTTCACTAGAAGACTGAAAAATTTTTCACAAAACCTCATTTACGTAAAATTTATTTCAGTATTAAAAGATTGCCTTGCGACAGGTTGAAAAAAAATATCAAATAATTAGCAAAAAGTGAAATGCCTCCATTTTCAATATTTCCCCTATACAATAATCCTAAAATTCTCCCCAAAATAAAAAAAAAAATCTTTCAAAACCGTAAATTCTTTTACCCCGATTAAGATTTGAGGATAAAAAGAGTGAGTGCTAAATTGAGACTTGCAAAAAATTCTGTCCCAAAACGACTTGAGACGAATAAAAAAAAATAAAAAATTCAATATCCCCCAAGGATACGAAAAGCACAATAAAATCCAGAAATAGCAGTATAACACATAAAAGAGAATAACAAAAAGATGTAAAGAGAGAAGGAACGAGAGAGTGAATTCGGTCTATAAAGCATTCGCATTTAATCGTTCATCGTTTGCACATTTAACGGGTTTGGGTCAGGAAGGCTTGAAAACGTCGGGCGTTTCCCATTTCAACGCTAGGCGTGCGGTTCATAAACGGCGGAACTATAAAACCGTCCCCCAGGTTACGACTTACGAGGTGAAAAGAGAGGATAGAAACGAGTGAGATAAAAAGGATTGTCCCTCATCTTGAGCGTTGGCATAAATACCAAACAAAAATAGCCGAGAAATCGCCTCAATCTTTTGCCTGCGCTTTCGTGGAAAGTGATTGCACACCAAGGTATAGCTGGAGAATGATGGCCACATTATACGTACGTGTATATTAAACTCCTCGAGGGTACCAACAAGAAATAATTACTCGTGTGTGTTAGAACTAGAACGATGGAACGCGCGCACGAGACCAACGAGAGAGTTAATCCGCGTACTGGTGTACAGGGGGTTTCAAACTATTAGCCTGGGTTACTTGTTAGCTCTCTCAGGCTGATTACCCTATTATCCCTGGTTTATCTTCGATCATAATACCTCGTGTGCCATTACACCGATCAGGAAATGAATTGATGGTCATATCGTAATAGTTATTCAACCCAGAGTCAACCCTGCATTTATATTTATTTCGGTTGTCACCCAAATTTCCACATTTCATTAACAACACGCTACCTCTATTGATTGGCATTGATTTTTGTTTAAGAATCATTATTTGAAAATGAAAAAAAAATCCACTATGACATTCGAATCAGATAATGGAAATAAAATGAAAATTTACAAATTTCCATTTTTAAAAGTTAGTTTTTGGAAAAATCGGGGGTTAAAATAGAAAACTAAAATGAGAGTTAAACTGGAGGTGAAAATTGAGGGTGAAATGTAAGTGAGCCTTCGGACAAGTCAAGTTTTACGATTTAATTCGATGAAAATTCATGGTGAGACGTAATTTTCTGGAAAAGCCGT